GATGTAAAATCTCGCCTGTGCAATAAAGAGCGTGCGAAACATTATGTGTGTCAAGTCTTCTATCGATGCCGTTGCCGTCGTTTTTCCCGCCTTGTTTTGCGGAGGCAGACTTCGTGGAGCTTGAACAATTGAAGATTCAGGTTAGATTGGAGTTGGATAGTTTCTTAGCTCAGAAATTATGTTTCACATTCTCCTTGACAGGTGCATGCGCTAAGTGGTGCTACAGCCCCTTCCCTAGCACTGCTGAGCACGAGAGGGAGTGTGGGGACGATCGGAGGATGTGTGAGGCCTATTACAGATTATTTTAGAAACCCTTCAGCACTTCTCAGCACTCTCAGGCGCAGCAACGTGAGACATCAGCCCAGGACAGTGTTGTGAAAGTCTTTCGGAGTTGACACCCCACAAAGGTGAGTTCACAGGTGAAGCTGAAACAGTTAAACAGTGCAGAAACATTGTTGTAGTAAAGAGCTAAAGAGCTAGTAAAGAGCGAAGGTAGTATATAACACAGTATGCAACTAAACTACGTGCTACTGTATTTTGTGCGTCTTTGTCAACTTGGTAGTCAGGAGATGGAGACGGTGCATGCAAAACTCCAAGCGTTGGGCAGTGCCTTGGGCGGCTGTACCGGAGCTGAGGAGTTCAGGGCGAGTGTCCAGGCAGGGCCTTGACGTTCCAATTCGTCCGACTTTCACTGTTGAAAGTTAAAGCAACAAACCCGAGATTTGACAAAGAAACTTTTTGTACCTACGAGTGCTCTTACTTAGTATCTCTTAACAAACCAGAGCGTATCAGAGCGTTAGTGACCTGGGGCCACCTCTTGCCTTCCAAAGGATCTCAATGCTGAGCTGGTAAAGAAGGCAGACGCCACAAAGTCATCATGCTCAGCTTGACAAGGGGTGAATTTTGAGTGTAGGCGTTCGAACCACATGTGGATTAATACTGTCATGCTTGACCAAGCTTTGCACTGGTTTAAGAAGTTCTCAAATTGACACTGAGGCTGGATGTGCTGACATCACAAGTCGAAATTCTCAGTGATGCAACTTGGCCGGAGAGCTTCACTGCGTCCCACTGCATCGCTTTGTGTCGCAGGTGATGGCACCAAAGCTGCGGCGTGCCAACCCACCCAACAGGTCGGTCTCACCACGTCTCAAGACAGACTGTGACAGCACATGACGCACGCGAGCTACACTCTCTGGTGTGAAGATGGGTTCCAGATATTGTCTTTGCTGTTGGTGTTGCCTTGTGTGTGGCTCTTCTTATGAGCAGACAAGAAATTTATAAGCAATATGTCAATATGAAGGTTGCAAATCCCAATCGCCATTTTCATGGGAGCTTTGAGCCGTGAGCTGCTTCGAGGCCAACGCCGAAAGGACGCAAAGAGCGAAGCGGCAAAAGCGAGCGAAGCGAGTGGGCAATCTCAGCTGAATGCGCTTCCAAGCGCAGCTGAGGTGATGGCCTCCAACCTAAGAGCGATGGCTTCCAACCCAAGAGAGCAAAACATTAAGAAGCGAGTTCTGGTTGGAACACGGAGTGGCTACAGTAGAGGTGTCTATGAGGTGCCTAGAGTGTCCATCATCGAGAGCGAAGGGAGATGCATAGGCCAAACATCAGTGTCCAGAGGCCTGCGGCTGATGTGCAAGCGAGCTGAGCCTTGAGCAGTTGCGTCTTTTTGGCACTGGCATAGCCTGGTATCGCCTTAGCCTTTGTGTCTCAAAGCAACATTTCGCGCATTTGGATGAGTCATGTCAAGAGCCGGTTGACATCAGTCTTGGGCCAGCCCCCCCATCGCTGCTAGATCACATGAGAGCCAGAACAGGAGCATGCAATTGTTGCCAAATTGTTCACATAGGAGTTCAAACTTTGGGGCTGCCAGAATGCAAGGTTCACCTGCCCCGCCACAGAAGCAGGGCGTTTCTTGGTCCGAGGTCAGTTTTGAAATGAGATGTAATTAGATATCACCCAGGAAGATCCAGGAAGTTAGTTGGTATATGTGCAGTGCAGCAGTTCTGGCTATATTGAATCTCTCCCTCCTGGTCTTGGGACCTTCGGCTTCTTCCACGTTTGTGTGTTGAACCGTGTTGAATCTGCGTACGCCAGAATTTCGGAGCAGTCTCCTATGGACTAAGACAGCCCGAGGAGACAGCATTGCAGTGCGTTGCATGGCACGGCTACTTCGCGCCCATGAGGACCATTATTGAAGTTGTTGGAGCAGACTCCGTACAAGTCCTGTACGGAGATACATTTAGGCACTTCATGCCATGCAGTTGTCATATGTTTCCAGAAGCTTCCCCTTGCTATTCAATTCAGGGGGGTTAGTTAAAGCGAAGATCTGGTAGTGGCTGCGATGGCTGAAAGGCAAAATGCCTGGGAACGATCCGACATGCCGTAGACAAAGCCTGCCCAGAGTTGCATCACTTAAACCAAGGGACCTTGGACATCATTTTGATCCGATCCAATAAGTCTCGAGTCATTGAGCATGCATGTATTTTGGATCAAATCCTAGACCTTGCAATAGCATGGCATGCACTTCAACCTGCTTGTTACAGCTCAACCTGCAAACATCTGGAGACATCCTTGAGATTGAATGACCGTGAGAGACGGAGCTTTGGAGTTGTTATGCGTAGTCATATGACATTCTGAATGCTTTTGAACAGCTTGAGTTGTAATCGCCTGTAGCTCTTCAACAGCCCACGTTTCACAGCAATTTCAAGTTGATGTGATTCTTTCTTGTCAAGTTTCCTGAGCTCATTCTTCGCCAATTAGTAATTCAGCATGGCCATGGCAGAGCCTCCTTGGCGTTTGCCACAAAAGGCATTGCTGGCTGGGAGCCCTTGAAGATCCAATGATTCAGAGCTTAAGCGATCCTAAGATCCCTAAGAAGCTATTCAGAACTCGCTTCTTTATGTTTTGCTCTCTTGGGTTGGAGGCCATCGCTACTAGGTGGAAGCCATCGCTATTAGGGGTGGAGGCCATTTCAAGGGCTCCCAGCAATGCAAGGCCTCAAGCTTAAGTGATCCTAAGACCCCTAAGTTTTGCCGGCCATGCCCCCGAGCTGTTCCCCACATACTCCCAAGCTGCCCCAAGCTAAAGGGTTGGTTACGCTATGTTTTCCTGTATATGAAGGTTTCGGGCTTGTGGCTTCTTCTGAACTCTTGTGCAGATTATGCATAGCTGCGCTGAGGCTGCTGCCGCCGGCATTGCAGGTCTCCCGGTGCTGGCGCTCTATTTTTGGCCCCTTGATGAGCTGAATTACAGAACAATCAAGGAGTGAAAGAAGCGAGAAGTAGAGGTGAGGAGCGTGCAACCTTAAAGAAAAGACAAAATGTGGCTTAAATATATGTATGTCCCGTGCTGAATGGTTGTCAACTAAAGGGGCGCGTGAGTTTGATTTGATAGGTTTCCCGGTTTGCTTTTGATGCTGAGGCATTCACCCCACTGTGTTGAGCCACGCGAATGCAATGTGTACAAAACCATACATCCCCAAATGCCAAACCGCATAGCATGTGCCCTACTACGTGCCCGCACATCTTGCCCGGAGGGGTGCGCTTTCATGCAACGCAGGCATGGAAATGGCGGACATATGGAACTTTCGGGTTCATCCGATGCTGTTGAACTTTGGGGTCAGTGCTGTCCTCAGTGGACGTGCAGCAGACGAACTGGAACTCTTCAAACCGGAACTGTGATACCGCAACAGCTGCAACTGAGTGCAACTGAGTTGAAAGATTCCACTTTATAAATAAAGCACCCTCAAAAATATCAAAATGGTTATATTTATATATACTGTACTCTTCGCAGCTTCCCTGCGCAGTGCTATGATGTTAACCTACGTAAGACCAGTGCTATCCTTTATTGATCAGGTGGCCCTAGTATTTTGTGATCAGGAGTTGGTCAGTACGCATTGAAAGTGCACAAATCGTTTGCGGCCTTGTGACGCACTTTCGCATTAAAACCCACCCACCCTCGGGTGCGGCCCTCATGGCCTCCATGGCTACTGACCGGGATTTGTGATGCCCGGATTCGGTCGACCGGATCCTCGCCAAAACAGTTCCCATCGAGCTGGTGCCCCCCCCTAAGGTTGTACGGTATATGATGTTAGTATATGATTGTAACAAGGTCACCCGCAGATAACTACTGACTGTAGGTGTTTGTTCGTGCGTTGTCCATACAGATACATGTTTCAAAAAAGCCATTCCATTCTGCTGGCTGAGAGAGAGCCATCATCACATAATATCAACACCTTGGAAAATTTGGTGTTTACAGCGAACATTGATACCCACCCACCCACCCACCCACCCACCCCCGCCCAAGCGCACTAATACCGTCCGACGTCACGTATCCGCAGCTCGCAACACATGCGAAGCAACATGCACGAAAGCTCAGAGCCAAATCACAAGCAAAGCCGAAACTTATGAGGCCTTCAAAACCTCAAGGTGCTGCTTGCGCAGCACATCCTGGATGTGCTGGATTGGCTGGTGATTGCTGTCCTACTTGGGACTCTTGGCCTGATCCATCAACTCTGTATCAAACGTTCGAAGCAGTTCCAAATAGTTCCAATGTCGTGGGAAGTCATGAGGATGGCTTAAACCTTGGTTGTTGCTTTTCGTGGCCGAGCCCTGGTCAGAAGCAAAGCTGCAATTTGAGTTCGGTCAAGATCGGCTTTTGTGGCAGAACGTGCTTTCTGAAATGCAACGAAATGCCTGGCCTAGCTGCAGCAGGATGGAAACTGTTGCTTCAAATGTCACCAGCTTGTAACAGGGGTGCAGATGACCCTTTTCGGCGACATTCTCATTGACGCAAAATGTATAGTAGTATATTTATGCGAGTTGAATCAAGTTCAGGCAAGCAAACCACGGAGATGGACAAGGGCGGCAGCAATTCCCGGAACCGACGCATCAGCCACAGCTGCTTGAAATAGCATTCAGAGTGACAACACTCAAGCTACACCAGTCTTTGCATCACCCGTTGAATCTGAGGAACAGTTGGGCACCTCAAACTCCTCCACCGCCAACCCCATACATCCTGCCGCCAGATTCACAGCCACAAGCCCAAGATGCGCACAGTCTTATGCCCGAGACATGGCAAGTTTGGAAGCACTCCGGTGTAGCGGGAATTGGATCGAGATAGTTCAAGTTCAGGAGAGATGGCGTCGACGAGTTGCTCGTACATTAATATTGTTCCTTTTTCACATGGCCACATGGAACGCACTACATCCTGTGCTTTTTCATACCTACCACGCAGCGGGGAGGTATCCGCCAAAGAAGATGTAGAGAGAGAGAGAGAGAGACAAGTAGATTTGTACAACATCCCACCATGTGGCCCTACCACATCTTCTTTCCGCACTTTCCGAAAGCCTTTTGCTTTGACGAGCCTCGTTTCTCGTTTCATCTCGTTGTTCGTTGCATGCGGTGCGCGGTCGCCTTGGTGGTTTGACTGAGGACCTCTTTACGCCCGAGGAGGCCGAGAGCGCGCTGCGCTACGGGACCTTGCGGGATCCCTTTTCAGAGCTCCTGCGGCCTGTGGCTTGGAGCAGTTTTGGGCATTTGGAGAACACAGGGTTGGACAACACGGTAGGGCTTGAGAGTTGTTTAATATTACAGAAACTTGTGGTTCATATAGTGAAATATGCACTGTTGCATACTTTTCCTTATATAGAGGTTCTTTCGTTGACTTTTTGTGACAGTTTCGAGATGGTTGCAAACTTGTCGCTCGGGCAAACCCAGGAGACAATGCAGCCAATCTACTTATTGCCGGCCAGGTGCTCAGCATGAAAGCAGTGTCGACCAAGGCAGGCTGTCATTCTTGACAATTGTATACACGTGTGAATCTAGTGGCTCGACTTCTCCCTGGGCAATGAGGTGAGCAATGGTTTCAAGCAGCTCTTTACTTTTTTTGTGTGGCCGGGTCGGCAAGAAATGTTAGAGCCGTTTCCATGAAGGCAGAGTGCCGCGCATTGCGGACCCTTCTTCAACTCCACCTGCAGGTTTGGCTTTGATCTGAAATTTCAACCGAAGAAGGGTACTGCAAAATCCAAAGTGGTAAAGTTCATCATCAGCAGCTTTGTGAAGATGATTCTTGGTGCATTAGTAGAGGTGTTGAAGGTTTTCTTAAGATCGAGTATACAAATAAAGTTGATTTCAATCTGCTCTGAATTCAGTTTGCCTTTCACTAATCTTGCCAAAGACAAAGAGTCGGATGCCGTGTGGCAGGGCCCAGGGTGGACGCGTCAAGTTGTCCACTGATCAGCTCGGCCACACTGGCCCTGGATTGTAGCATCGTGTGCGCTCACCCCACGCATGCACAATCCATGGCAGAATGCTAAGGGCAATGATTGGCTTGGCCATTAACTCCATCATTCACGATGTCCAGAGGCAGCTTAGATGTGACGATGGATGTCACATGATGTGATGGCTGTCAAACGCTGCAGCGCTTAGGTTTCAGCGGCGGGAAGATATCAACGAGACCAACTACAATGATCTCCTTACCTTGATGGCCGTGTGGTGCAACTTGGAGAACATCAACAGAAGAAACCTGTGATAGAGGCCTTTTTGATATTGACACACGGTAAACAAGACAAGGAACATATGATATGCAAAGCAGGTGTGTCTTGCACCATTTTGCATTCGCTGCCCTACCATATATAACAAGATGCATCCAGATATTTCAGATGCTAATCTCCGAAGGCCGACGACATACATACATCTTATACATGCTTACGCACTTGCGTGATCCATGTTGAACCTAGACCAACATGATATAGGCAATCGCAGAGGTACCTCCCCCAACTTCGCTGCTGGCTTGGGGCTTTGGGGCCAGCTTCGTATTCAAAGCCCAGGGGCTGTCACTTGGCTTTGATGTCGCTGGGACACAGTTTCAGGACCTTACAGAATTGAGACTTGAATAGATTCGGGATGCTCCATTCATTGTCATTTTGCCAGTTATACTTCGTTCTGTGGTGCGAGACTGCGCGGAATACAAGGGGAAAGGAAAGAGAACTTCGAATATCATGGACGGAGCGGGACACTGTCCCGCTTCATTAATAGATGATGCAACCGAAGCATCTTACTTCAGGTCTTTAGAGATGACATTGAGACCGCTCGCTACCGCCGCATGTGCCAGCACAGTAGTTTTCATTGGGCGTGCTTTTGCGTGAGAGCTTTTCCGGTGAATACTTTGATTTGTTTTCCTATCCTTCAGGATTCTTGCTTTGGAGCTGTGACGAGCCAAACCCAGTCAGTAGAGCAACACAGAGCAACAAATGATAGAAATCCTTTGTTTTGGGGGTGTTTTATTGAGCAGCCGTTTGCAACAATCATGCTGGAATTTCGCGGTGTCTAAGCAAATGCCGTGGACACAGTTGCCGAGGACACCTGTGCATACCTTCGCAATCATCGTACTATGATGTACGATTCCCGATTTTCCCAGGTGATGCACTTAGTTTGCTTGATATGTTTAAAAGTTGAGTAGGGCCAGGTCGAGGTGACCACTGTCAGGTTTAATGCATGTCAGCTTGCCAAGCAGCTGAGTGATGTTAAGTGATATTTAAGTTTTAGAGGGGCCTTTTAGAGAGTCCTGAGGTAGAGCGCGTTGGCTTTCTGTGATGAAGCAGCTTTATGCGCTCGTGTTGCTGCTGCCCGACTGTTGAGTCATTGTCATTGACCAAATCACTACTGTAGTGAAACGCAATTGTTTGGCCAGTGTTTCAGGGCTATACTTGGAGAGTGAAACTTCGGTGCCGCTGTTATATACATTCTGTTGCCATTGGACTTGCAAACACACAGCCCACGGTAAGCGGTAAGAGCACAAAAGAGCCTAGCTGTGTTGAGCAAGCTTCAACAGCTCAGGCCGTATGTGGTGCCGGCAATGGTCTTGGAGGTGTTGATGTCGATTCTGTTTTGCTACTTGGAGTCAGTGCTTGAACGCTGATTCATTGGTTTAGTTTGTCTTCCACGTTGTCTCTTTTTGGGCCAATTGATGTAGAATTCATGAACGTCAGTCCAGTCGAAGTTGTGATGGGCAAGTGCCTAGCAGGTTATTGGATCATCTTCCAGTCGAGACTTTCCTGTCTCTTCAAATGCCTGCAAGTGCACGTGTTTATGTTTGGTTGTATGTTTGTTTGGCTCCTTGGATGCAGTGAGGGCATGTGAAGATGTAAGATTTGTATGACATTGTATAGTGCCCGCAGACTTTGCCTTTAAGTTCTTAAGGGGAGCCTTTTGTGACTTCACTTTTGCCAAGGCTCCTGACCTTCGGACATTTTGGCGCCAACGGGAGCTCTGATGAGATCAGGTTTTTGAATGTTTTAGAGTATGGGCTGTGCCATTAGCTACCTCACAACAGTCCGATGCACGTACGGTCATGATTCAGTCGCAAATCAGCGCTTTAACTTCGGATCAGAAGAGCCAGCTTTGGAACCATCAGGTGGTCGATGGTGGGGAGTTGTCATGAGTTTATTGCAACTGCCAGACAATTTTGGACTGTCGGATGCCAAGGATCGGAAAGTACTGGACAAGTTTGTGGCCATTTGTGTGTCTTGATTCGTGTGTAGTGTGCAAGCTGCTTCTTGTTTGCGGGACAAGATGTTTAACAAAATAGGGCGTGGAGAGCGAAATTGGACCTTTTCAATTGCCATTTGTGGGTAGCGGAAAAACAGTTGAGAAACCTCAGGTACATGTACATGGTCTACATCTTCGCATCGTTCATTGTGCCTGTTGCCATGGCATTCACCTATGGCATTCTCAGTGGCACCGTGTCTAGAATGGACCACTGCCTCCCTTGCGATTTGTTCCGCTGCCAGTGGGTTGAAGAGATCAGATTTCCCAGCGACAAGCCCAACCGTCCTGGTTGCACCTTTGTAAATACATTCAAACGTGACATGTGTGCCGTGAGCACATCAGGTTCCGCATTCCATCAGATTTGCAAGGGCATTGGCTGCTGGGAGACGTCTCAGCGGCGCCAGCCAGGGAAGGTCCACAAAGCAGTCTCCTGACGCTAAATGGTGATAGATTATTTGACGCAGCATTGCATTCCTGGCCTACTGGAGCTACGTACAACTGAGGTCGGCTGGTTGCTCAGACTATGCAACAGAGATAGCACAACCTTTTGTGGACAATGCTTCGCCTCACTGGAGAAAGGGACGCTTGGATGTCACCATTGTGCCACCATCTCCAATCGAATTACACATCGCCATAAATAGCTCGAATTTCTGTTGGATAAGTTTGGCCGTTAGATGCCGTTAGGCATCGTTAGGTCGTTAGGTCGTTAGGCTACATAGTCCCCCCACTTGATGGTCCATGATCTTTTTGTGAAAAGCACATGGATTTCTTTGGCTGCTTCGGCTTTTGTTGTGGGTGCTTTTCACGATGACACATGGCACCTTCTGATAGGTTTACCTTCTTGATGCCTCATCGTGAGCTTCAACTTGAAAAAGGTGACCGAGATTTGCTGTTGCGTCGGAGTGCCGAGATTTACACTGTTGTCATGACTATACAGCAGATATGCAGCGGTGAAGTGATGGTGACTGCTTAGCTTGGTTTGCCATTGACATTCAAATAAGTTAGGACTACTACTACTACCACCACCAACTCCTACTTACTTCTCAGAATGTGATTCTTTGGCTTGGATGACGCAACCTTCCCTGTAAGGTTTGGACGAGCATCGTTTGACACAAGACTTTCAGTTCAGACCCGACACCGAGACAAGCCACTTGGATTTGATGCTGGGTGTCATGCGGGAAATGCATGAGATCATGATACATAGATTGATAGATCATGTAAGATCACGTAAGACCAACCGATCGCCCTTTGAGTAATTTGTTCTCCCTGCTGAAGGGTGTGAAGAGCTTGAGTTGCCAGGTAGTCAACTACAATGCATGACAATACCTGAATGATCATGAATGCACGTGGTGATATTCAGACAGACAGACATGAAACACCTCGTAGCACATCGTAGCACCTCTTTCCAGCGATATTCTAGCCGGCCCGCGTCACTGTCTTCATGCCTTAACTTGGAGATGGCTCCTTCCTTCTCAGGCGAACACATCGCTCGGCTTCGTTCCCAGCTCGCGAAATTGAAGCCTGCCTGACATAGTCTTGCTAAAAGAGCATCTACAATCTAAGCTGAGCCAGAAGGCCTGAGTGCCAACTCAGATGTTGTTTTCGATGGATCCCCGTCTCAGCGTGTTTCGATTTCCTATATGAAATGGGGGGGTTGGAGTCCACTATATATATACTGTACGTTTTGATCCCTGTTGCTATATGGGATCAAACATGGGGTATGTTAAGATCAAAATTAACTGTTCATATTGAGCCATTTAGTATTGTATTGAATGCCTTTTTCGCTATCTAATGTTACAAAAGGTTGTTCTCGAATCCTTTTAGACTAAGTCGCACCGGTCACTTCTGAACTTGTTTGACCCGTTTATATCTACATGTTCATCTAAAATGAGGTGTGTCAACATACCCGTCAATGTAGCATCGGAGATACGTGTTGTATGTAGATTTTTTTAGAGTGCTGCAGAAAGATGAGGTTGGGGCCCGCATCGTGTAGCAGCAGTGCAACTTTGGGGGGTCAATTGCGAAGCACTGACAAATCTTAGCTGTAGATAGGTAGGTTTGAAACGAAGAAGTCGGAAATTCGACAGAACAAAAGAACTGTTGTTTTTGGCATTATTTTTTACTTGGTCATGATTGAAGAGACCTAGAAACAGATGGAAGCACCTCAATCTGGCGCGTAAAGGTCATACATGGTCATACCATTTTGTAGAACAGGTTCCGCCCAACGTGAGTCACCACAATGATGTGCAAGATTCCTGATGTTTAATTGAATTAATTTACTGTATGTATGTTGGAGTTGGACCTATGTAGTCATGGAGTGTCGGGCGCTTCCGAAACATAAGACCTAAACTCAGAGGGGTCGAGTCCGATGGTGCAGAATTGATTCCGTGACACCAGCCCAAATGGAATGGAGATGAATAACACGACCACGAGAGAAGAGCCTGATTAGTCTTCATCAGTGTTGTTTAAATATCGAAGTTCTCCAAGGCGTGCCAGATGGAATGGTGACTCTGATTCCGACCCTTGGCTGTCAATTCAAACGATGCAAGAGGTTAAGACCCACTTTCGCCACGAAATGTCGAACTTTCCTGTGTTGTTTGGCCACCGCCGTTGGCTAGCTTATTGTTTCTAATAGCTTCTTGTTACTACTAGTAAGGCACTTGTTATTAGAAGCGATGCACTTGTTCCTGGTAGCTTATTGCTTCAGTGTTGTCTAATTCTTTTCTTGCCTGTTTCAGTTTGCATGTCGCTTTGCCATGTTTGTCCTCTCCTCTCAGTCTTGTTCTGTCGATCCTGTCCTATTTGTCTCTAGCTTTTCGTTTGTTCGTCTCTTTTTGTCTTCTTCTCTCCGCGTTTGTACCTATTGCTTTCTTCGGTGCCGATGTCGTTAATTATTGACGTGATGTTCTTGACTGGGCGGCATTCTCCAGACTTCGAAAGTAATTTTACCAGTGAAGAGTGAAACACCATGAAACACCCACACCTTTCGGAAGGCTTGGACGAACCGTCAACGTGTGTATGGAGCATGGGTGTCGTGCGCTTCCTCTCGGCGATTTGTCTTAGAATGGCTTTGTTCTATTCCTTTCCTGTTTTTTGTGTGGTTTTTTTGGAGGGTTTGGCTTGCCAAAGGCATGCAGCAACGTGGAGATACGATTAAGAAATGATTTGGAAGTTTCAATACAATTCAATATAGTATATATGTCAACGACTATAGAACTTTGGAAGACGTGCGCGATGAGCCATTAGATGATGATGTGTGACTGTCAGACTCATGTCCCCAATGGAACTGCGACGCGAAGCACCTGTTACATACCTGAAGACAGGACGCTGTCCCGCATCCGATTTCCGGCTTAAGTTACATGCTCACGATTACGCCATCTGCAACTGTTCGTAACTCGGAAGTTTCTAATTGAGATGTCCATCGATTATTCATGAGTTTTCTATATTATATTTTGCAACTTTAGTCTGCAAGCTCACCTTACTTTTGAAGGCGGCAATTCAGCGAAATCCTCATGGAACACCTCGCTGCTCCAAACCTCAATGGTTCAAGAGAGAAAACTTCCTGTTGTACAGTAATGGAAGGACGCTGCGTATTTTAGGAGATGGTTTCTCCAGAAAGGATGGTTGACCTTGCAGGCGGAAGGAATAGCAACCTGATCACAGCTGAAACGGTAAGCTACGCCTTTGATCCGTTCACACAGAATGGCGAAACTCATATTTCAAAGTCGATCTTGTTGGTTGTTTCTCCAGTGTGTAAGAAGCGGTTCTCAATGACAATTACAAAACGTTCAATTGATGCGTCCAACCAAGTCATTAGCGCTCTCTCAATAACGAGGTCCGGTCTAAGGCCTAAGGCATTTCATGCCGTGCAAGTATGTATCCATGGACATCCATGGACGAGGGTCATTAAATGTCTATGAGGACCAGGACTACCGCAAGTTTCGCTGTTGTGAAGGTGTGAATTTCACTTGGCTTGTCAAGTGAGGATGGTGCGACCGACGACGAATATGCAGAAAGTGCGGGCTGATTGTCTTTTGGTGTTTGAACTTCACTATGGATTTGATATGATTTGATGGGATGTTGGGAGAGTCTGGCTATTCTGATCAGCTGGCAAGTTGCTCAAGCATTTGGCATGGCGCTGACCGCAATTCTTGTTTGAACTTGAATTGGTGGTCAGCCGTGGTCAGTCTTCTGCAGGTCCACGGAAATGCTTCGACGTTATGGTCCATGCCCCAAGATGGTTTTTGTTCGTACGAATACACGCTGGAGACTTGCAGGTCGGTGACGAAACCTGTCCGGGTTCCCCAGACCCAGACCATTGTTCAACACCGCTGTCTTGTTTTCTGTGTTAGCAATGGCCTCCACGGCCTCTAACCTAGCAAACTATATTAGACCTTTCTTGAGCCAGTCATTTGCACCGTCATGTGTCCAGCAGCGTCACCCATCATTCGAGAGGTGTGGACGGTGATATAAATGTCGAGAGGGACCCGCGATTGAAGCACGACATCGAAAGTGGGCAGGACACCCCATAGTTACAATAGTTTAGGCTGCTTTTTGTGATTTGTGTCAACGATTGCCGATAGCCTGGGTGCAAAAGTAGGCAAGGCTGAACATGTCGAAATTTGTCAACACAATCAACACTGCAGTGGAATGGACGATGCCGGAAGCCATAAGTCAGCTGGAATTTGTCAGGAGGAATACAATTTAGAGGACGCAGAGGCACGAAATTCAATTTCTCACGTGAATGGACAGAAAAGCACACTGTATGGATTTCAGATGTCCCTAGTCTCTCTCACACCAGTGGTTTACAACAGTTTAGGGCAGTTACTCCTCTGTCAAATCACATCAAAGGCAAACGACAATTACTTGAACTTTAAGATTCTAAAGTCATGTATCTATGTAGGTAAACTATTCTTGACCTGTGCTGCTAGAAAATGTGTATAAATCTTGTGGTACAGACACGGGGTTCCACCTCGATCGCACGACCACAGTGTGGCCTTATTCACCGCTTTGCGGCGATAGGTTCAGGTGGTGATGCTCACAATCAAAGCCATGGCAGAAGTAGCGACTCGGCAGAGACAACTTAGGCCGGCTTGGGCATGGCTAGACCACGGCCAAAAGCTTCATTGGCACTTGCAGCTTTGGGTGCTGATGTGATTGAATCGACAGAATACTATCTAACTTCACGAAGCACTATAATATAATTGATTAAACATTGCAACTGGTCATTTGGAAGCGAAGTTTCCTAATTCTTTTTAGATTTTTGATAG